CTTTTGTTCACCTTCCCTACAACTGTGAACGAACGCTTCGTAGTAAGGTTGTCCCTCTGCCTGTGTATATTCGTGAAATAGCTCCTGCTTATATACTGGCTATACCTGGTTAGAAGAGTTAACTGAAAACCATGTGATGTACTTGCGAATTTCCCTGGGTGAGAAAAAAGATCAGTTTAGGGAACTAGTGTCCTGGTGACTTCCGAAGTCTATTTATAGTTTTCCTTGCTATTATTACATCATGACTACTGTATGGTTCTTGTGTTGTTTGGCAATGTCTTTAAGTAATTTACAAATAGGATGAATTTGTTGCATTTTCTTTTGTCACGTATATCTTTTGGCAGCCTTTTGCTGGGGAAAGGATTCTTTTTAAAATTTTAATTGAAGTCTCATCAAGCTTACTCATAAATACTTTCTCACTTCCTTTTTTCTCTTATTTTTTTTCATTTGTTCTGCAGCTCCTGGAATGAGGCCACCCATGGGAGGTCACATGCCAATGATGCCTGGGCCTCCAATGATGAGACCTCCTGCTCGTCCCATGATGGTGCCCACTCGGCCAGGAATGACTAGACCAGACAGATAAGAATAAAGGGTGGGGGGGGCCTTATCAGTTTTATATTATTTGTTCAACTTCACCAGGAGATCATTGGTGACACTGGGTGTTTTCCAACAGCATGACAAGGAAGACTTGCTTCCTTTTATCAAAAGAATAGATTTGGAAGAGTTAAGTGGGACAGAAAGAACAGATTTCATTTGTATTGTGAAATGTGAAAATAAAACTGTTAGCTCTTTTAGTTAAAAGTGTGTTCTTTCTTTTTTCTTTCGTCTTTATTCTTTGTATATCATAAAACAGATAAAACATTCTAGTTGCATTCTAGCACATTCTCTTCAGCATGTTCTCTGTGTGGATTCTTGTTTCTCAGCAGTAGAATAAGTCTCCACATTCTGCCTTTGTTTAGTAGTTATCTTAAGTAAATAAATTCTAACCCTGTAGAGCTTTTCTTTCTTTGTGGAAAGAAAAGGTGCTGAGAATCAAACCCAGGACTCATGTGTGGCCAGACAAATGCTCTATCAGTTGTCTACACTCCCAGCCCTGGAGAGGTTTTTCTGATTAAAATAATAAACAGATTACTGGGTAACACTTTCACAGTTGTGGGTTTTTCCTGTTGAAGTAGGGGACAATGCTTCATGTTGGATGCACATCAGCTAAAAATGACAAGAATTAACTTTGCCTCAGCTTCTCCTTTCTCTCGGCTCTCCTCTTTTTGGCTCACACCTATAATCCAAGCTTCTCATAAGGCTGAAATTTGAGGGTCATAGTTCAAAACCAGCCTGGGCAGGAAAATCCATGAAACTCCTCTTTCCAATTAACTACCCAAAAGCTGTGTCTTTGAGAAAAAAAAGCTCAGTGACAGTGCTCAGGCCCTGAGTTCAAGCCCCAGGACTGGCGCGTACACACAGAAAATTCTGAATAATTATGCTATTATTTGGTACAGAAAATGATTTAAGAATGCTATCACGGGG